GTATTTTGGTGAGAATTTTTGCATCCATGTTCATCAAGGATATTGGTCTGTAATTCTCCTTTTTGATGGGGTCTTTGTCTGGTTTTGGGATCAAGGTAATGCTGGTTAGGCTCTCCCTTCTTTGACAGGATGTAGTGCATCCTGTCAGTGCATCCCTGGCTTACCAAGGTTTCTGTAGATATAAGAAAAGAAATTCTCACAGTTTGGGGGCACAGCACACTTCAACAAGGCAGGTATGGCAGAACCTATGGGAAGGAAAATAAGACTGGACATTTGATATTGGCTTAGGGTTCTAGAAGGAAGGGACTGTTACACCAGCGTAGGCTGACTGGGAGCCTGCCATTACAGCCCCAGCACCTCAAGAGAAAGCACGCGGGAGAATCTGCAGGCACCAAGGCAAGGATCTACAGAGATTGGTGATCACCATGGTGAAAGGCAGCCCTCAAGGAACCCTCTCTCTCCCTCTGTTCTGCTTTCATTTAAATTTTTTTCTGATTACAGAAGTAATAAAGATTTCTTAATAAAAAATTTTTTTAAAAAGATTTTATTTATTTATTTGACAGAGAGAGAGAGACAGCGAGAGAGGGAACACAAGCAGGGGGGTGGGAGAGGGAGAAGCAGGCTTCCCGCTGAGCAGAGAGTCCGACGCGGGGCTCGATCCCAGGAGCCTGAGATCATGATTTGGGCCAAAGGTAGATGCCTAACAACTGAGTCACCTAGGCACCCCTCTTAATAAAAATTTAAAATAGAGAAGGTAATGAGAAAGTGGAATTTCCCTGGATAATTACTGTTAACAGTGTGGCATATATCAAAAATATTGCTTGCATGTTTGTTCTTTCATTCATCTAACAAATACTTGTTGAGGCCTACTGTGTGCAAGAGGATGTGGACAAAATGTTGCACAAGAGTCAGACAGGTCCCAGCCTTTACAGAGCTTACATTGTCATGAAGGAGAAAGGCAGCAAAAAAGGTAGTGTTGACATATACAGTAAAATTTCAAGGGGTGCAAAATGGTATAAAGAAAAATAAAGCAAGGTAGTGTTAAACATAAGACAACAGGCCCCAAGTGGAGTCCCTTAGGCTAAGCCCTACTTTGCCAAACCAAGACCTAACTTAATTACAGCTTCAGCTCTCACAGAAATGGAATCTTAAACCACTTGTTCAGGAATTGCCTGACCAGCACAAGCGAGGTAATCTGCCTGACAGACCCCTGCCATCCTCTAAAGGAAAGTGACCTGGCAATAACCAACCCGCTTTTTTGTCCAGTGTAAATTCCTTGTTGATACTCACTTCTCTGCTTGTAAAAGCATTTCATTTTGTACTGTTGCTCCAAGCTCCTATCTGCTGGGTTAGGTGCTGCCTGATTCAGGAATTGCTGAATAAAGCCAATAAGAGCTTTAAAATGCACTCAGTTGAATTTTTGTTTTTTTGTAACAGTAGGTAATGCAGTTGCATGTAAAGCACCTGAAAACAAGCTATACTCTAGTGTAAAACATTTTTATCTTTGGCAGGAGAATAAGGCCTTTTCACAGCAGGACAATTCTGCCAACATCCTCATGATTTTTTTGTTTTCTTCTCTGGGAACAAAGAGACATTTATGGATTGCTCTTGTGTATTTTATTAAGGCCTTAACTTTTTCAATTCTGTTGAGTGAAGTTACCCCAATATTCACTGTGTTCAGATAAGATTTTGAAGATTGTTCTTCAGGTTTCCACCTGTGAACTAAGAAGAATTTAACCAACTATTAGTCTTGGGGAATGAATCCTGACTTTACTCTTTTGTTCATTCTGAGAGAATATGAGATACTATATATATATTATGCAAACCTTTATATGTTATATATTACATATATATTTTATGTACCAAGTTGCCCCTTGAACAACATGGGATATTAGGGATACCCAGTCCCATGCAGTCAAAAAACTGTGTATAACTTTGACTCCACAAAACTTCAACTACTAATAGCCTGCTGTTAACCAGAAGCCTTACTAATAAACAGTTAACACATATTTTCTATGTTATATGTATTGTATACTGTATTTCTACAGAAAGTAAGCTGTATATAAGAAAATGATATGAAGAATCATAAGAGAAAAGGTAGCAGGGGTGGCTATATTAATATCAACGTATATTTCCGAGCAAAGAATATTATGAGAGATAAAGCAAATCATTTCATAATGACAGATCAATTAATCAAGAGGACATAACAACTTTGAACATTTGTATATGTAATTGACAGAGCTTCAAAATCCGTACAGCAGAAATAGAACTGTGAAGAAAATAGACACATCCACGATTATAGCCAAAGATTTCAATAACTGATAGAAGTAGGAGGCAGAAAATCAGCAAGGATGTAATAGACTTCAGCAACACTGTCCACCAACTTACCTTGATTGGCAGTCTGTCCAACAAGGGCAGATATATGTTCTCAAGTGCACATCAAACCGGATAGATTATATTCTAGACCATAAAACAAGTCTCAAGAGCTTTAAAAGAATTTAAGTCATGCAAAGTCTGTTTTGTGACCATAAGGAATTAAATTAGAAATCAGTAAAAACAAGATATCTGGAAAATCCTGAAACATTTGTGAAGTGAATAACACACTTTTGAATAAGCCATGGGTCATGGAAAAAATCCAAGAGGAAATTAGAAAGTAGTCCAAACTGAATGAAAATAATGACAAGTGTATGCTCCTAAAGCATCCTTGGGGAATTTATAGTACCAAATGCCCATAGGAAGGAAGAAAGGTCTTCAATGACTTCAGTCTCCATATTAAGAAACTAATAAACAAAAAGTGGGAATTAAACCCAAAGTAAACAGAAAAAAACATATAATAAAGACCGAAACAGAAATCAAAGAAATCAAAAACGAAAATAATAATGTTAATAGCAGGTTTAATCTGTAATAGGCAAAAACTGGAAATGATCCAGGTGCCTGGCTGCCTCAGTTGGTGGAGTATGTGACTCTTGATCTTGGGGTTGTAAATTTAAGCCCCATGCTGGGTGGAAAGATTACTTAAAAATAAAACCTTTAAACAAAGAAAACTGGAAACAATCCAATACCCATCAGCAAGTGTGTGTAAAAGCGAGTTGCATAGCCCCACAGTAGAATATTACTCAGCAATCAAAAGGAATGAACTTTTTTTGCTATGAAAATAGGTTTGGAAAGCAGGTAGTTTCTTCTAGTTGGTAAGGAATGCTTAGTTCTGATAAACAAATCTGGAGCTAGACAAACAATGCTTCTTGAGTGAACAGCTAAATGAAAAGGGAGCTCATTTCCCAAATGAGACAGCCTTTGGAAATATTTTTTATTGTGGAAAAATATATGTAACAATTTACCATTTGTAAGTGCACAATTCCATGGCATTAAACACATTCACAAGGTGTGGAGCCATCACTACCC